ATCTAACCGGGTCACCCTATATAATGACATTAATGGCCACTAATGATAAATAATGGGTTTCGGAAAGAACACTTAACTTGATTTGTTGACAGCGTGTTGACAGATGGTACACCTTTGGTATCCATAACACTACGTCCAAGTAAAATTAATAGGAGCCGAATTTGCTCCCGTGTGAGCCTCTGGTCTCGTATAACAATGCCTGTTTAACACTCCATACTATTGACGTTATTGGCCGACATTGTCCAGAATGATAGGAGCCGAATTTGCTCCACACGTCTCGGAGGTGACACAACAATGGCTGCCCTCCTTCCCCACTCTGACGCCTGGCTTACATTGTCCAGATTTCAGAACGTGATAGAAGGGTCACATTTACTCTACTTTAATATTGATAATTAAGTTAATTTATATAAGATGTTTTTATGATGGTAAAGTCCAAAGACTAATGTATTTAAGAATAATTCCCACCATAATAGGTGGTGAATTATAATAGTATGTGGTGATGATATCCCGTTTTCTTTAGATGGTAATTCCACTACAAGTTACGTTTTCTATGGGTAACTTGTTTATACAACAGCTATTATCTGTATGATTATTAAATGGTGTCGGATTTTCCGACACTTAATGAAACGGACAGAGAGAAAGATCTAGGAGTTGATATCACACCCAACCTGTCTCCTGAAGCCCACATAAAAAGAATACCGTCTGCGGCATATGCGAGGCTGGCTAACATCAGAACAGCGTTCAGGAACCTGTGTAAGGAATCATTCAGAATCTTGTACACCACATATGTAAGACCAATCCTGGAGTATGCGGCCCCAGCATTGAGGCCGTATCTTGTCAAGCACAAGACGAAGCTGGAAAAAGTCCAAAGGTATGCCTTTAGACTAGTCCCAGAACTAAGAGGCATGAGTTACCAGGAAAGGCTGCCGGAAATTCACCTTACGACACTGGAAGACAGAAGAGTAAGGGGAGACATGATCACAACCTACGAAATCCTCAGAGGAATCGACCGGGTAAACAAGGATGAACTATTCAACACTGGTGGGACGCGAACAAGGGGACACAGGTGGAAACTGAGTACCCACATGAGCCACAGAGACGTTAGAAGGAACTTTTTAAGTGTCAGAGTAGTTAACGGATGGAATGCATTAGGCAGTGATGTGGTGGAGGCTGACTCCATACACAGTTTTAAATGTAGTTATGATAGAGCCCAGTAGGCTCAGGAATCTATACACCAGTTGATTGACAGTTGAGAGGCGGGACCAAAGAGCCAAAGCTCAACCCCCGCAAGCACAAATAGGTGAGTACCAATAGGTGAGTACACACACACACACACACACACACACACACACACACACACACACACACACACCAGTTGATTGACAGTTGAGAGGCGGGACCAAAGAGCCAAAGCTCAACCCCCGCAACCACAAATAGGTGAGTACACACACATACACGCAAGCACACACGTTTAAACATGTTTGACTATTGAAAGGTGGGTCCAAAAAGCTGAATCTCTACCCACGCAGACACAAATGTAAAACAAATACAAATAGTATATACACACACACGTTTAAAACATGTTTACAAACACTGAGGTGAGTACAACTAGGTGAGCTCACATACACGCTCACGCATGCACACACTCAAAAAGCATTCATCCACTGAGAGGCGGGTCCAAGAACTGAAGCTCAACCCCACGTAATCACAGTTAGGGTTACATCCCTCAAACACTGAGGTGAGTACAACTAGGTGAGCTCACACTCACACGGGCACACACGCATGCACACACACAAAACATTCTTCCACTGAGAGGCGGGGCCGAAGAACTGAAGCCCAACTCCACGTAAGCACAGTTTGGGTTACACTCTTCAAAGACTGATGCCAAACACTGATAATCACATTCAATCATTGATAATCTCACTTAATGAATGGACAAAGCATATTCCTCGATAACATATCTGATAAGAACCACTATTACATCAAGATCTTAGTACGATAACAGGTGTCTCGCCCTGTCAATCAGACAACTACTAACAAAAGAAATGGTCACAATGAATACCTATAGAACAAGCGGGCATTATTGGAAGCTTAAGAAGCAGATGAGCCATAAATATGTTACACAGTTTTTCCTGAAGCAATAGTAGAAGGAAATAGGAATGAACCAAATAAACAGGTTGTAGGAGACAACTCCATTTATGATTTCAAAAGTAGATTTGAAAGGAAAATAGATAGAGTCTGTGCATTAGTCAACTGGCTTCTGGAAAGGCATGGTCCAAGAGCTAAAGCTCAATCTTGCAGACACAAATAGCTAAATACACACACACACACATTAACCTGAGTCTTTTGTTGGATGCAAGGTTTAACAGGTTTTCCCGTGTTGACCGAGCGCCAGGAAGCTTGCTGATTTCGTCAATTCTTCTGGTAGCTGGCCTTCACTCCATCTTTTTCTCTCTCGAAGAACCCAATCAAGAATCTCTTTGGCTCACTCCTGATCCCGTTTTTATATGGCAACGCCATTTTATCCTTCAATTTAACTTTCAGACCCTTCTAAGTCAACTGATCATTAAACCTTTTTGTATTAAAAAATTTAAATACCTATAGGTTTTATTGATGGATTTATTATCTCAACAAGGTTGGTGATTCCGACAAAACGATCACCCGCAATAATGACTCCCTCAGATAAGTCCAAATGATCTTATTTAAAAGTTGTGACCCTTGAGTTAACACTCCCAATCTCTGGGGAGGCTTGTACCCCAATACTGGAGGCGCAGTTACGCACGAAAATGCACCTTTTTTGGTGTGAGCTGTCAGCACCGTATCTATAGGCATAAACAGGTCATTCACTGCTAATAGACTGAGGGTATATTCACTCAAAGACTCCTTCCGGTCTCACAGACGAGCTCAAGAAAATTATAACCTCTTCTCAGCTTCGACAAAATAATATTGTTGAGTGAAATTAGTTCAGTGTACATTCTTAGGAAAAGTCAGGAGTAATGAAACTTTCTCACTTTTACAAATTTCTTTATTAAACTAGGTAAGATGACAGAAACAAATAGCAAATATATTGCCTCGCAAATATATTAAAATAGTAAAATAATAGTAATATTATTTTAAATAGTAATAGAAAATAAATGAATAGTAAATAATTGAGATGTTCTCAATTATACTAAGTATACTAACTTATACTAAGCTAGGGCAATTTTGCTGAAAATGCAAATCAATTGTACTTAATTTTCTTACTAGAAGAGCCACATCAAAACAGTTGATTAATCCACTTAACACGCGTGGAAATATCTTCTAAAGAAGCATAACAATGCCTTGGGGTGGATGGCAGAGCGAGTCTCGCTTCATGCTGGTCGGCATTCAATCCCCAACTGTCCAAATGGTTGTGCACCATTCCTTCCCCACCCCCACCTTCGTCCCATCCCAAATCCTTATCCTGATACCTTCCAAGTGATTTACAGTCATAATGGCTTGGCGCTTTTCCTTGATAATTCCCCCCCTCTCTCCCTCTTCGTCCTTTTTCAGTTTATCCGTCACCTAAATCATTAAAATGCACAAAGAAATCACATTAACGTTATGTATCAGTGAGAAAATCAGTAGAATCCATGTTGAGAATTCGAACCTGCACAGTAGATATTTCCAAGTATACGCCCTAACCTACTCGGCCACGACATGCTAAAACCAATATAACCTGGAATTCAACTAAATTCTCTAGGGTTCCTGAAACTTCCACTGATGCCCAATCAGGGTTTTACTGAGAGTACTCAGTTTTCAAGGTTCGAATATTCATCTTGGTTTCTACTGATTTTCTCATTGATACATAACGATAACGGGATGTATTAATGAGATTTCTTTGTGCATTGAAAAGAAATGTTGGAGGTAGAACTCCTGGGCCACAGTCAGAGTGCAGGAGGCAATGTGTGAGACTGACTGGATTACAGTAGAAGCCTCAGAACCCCTTGTCCTAGAGGATTCGATTGAATTCCAGGCTACATTGCTTTTAGCATGTAGTGGCCGAGTTGGTTAGAGTGTATACTTGGGAATATCCACTGTGCAGGTTCGAATTCTCATCATGACTTCTACTGCTTTAATTATATGAATGAGAGAGGAAAGTGATCAGCACGAGTACGTACTAGATATAACAGCATTTCGGGACATGGCGATAGTGGTAGTGGTGATTTACAATCCAACAGTAAACAAGAGAAGTCCTAGGCTCCTCCCCCTTTCTCTTCTCCTTCCTCTTCCCCTTCCCTTCTCTCGCTTGCCTAAAGAATACGATTAATGCAACGAGACTTGTCTGAAGGTAATAGATAAAGCAGCCACAGAGCCAACGGCAGGAGCTAGGATTCTCATACTTGGGATTTCAATCATAGAGATGCAGACCGGATAATTAAGGACCGCATTGGAGGTGATGAGACATTGAGAAGGAAACTGGCAGACAGCAGAAAAGCACTTCTTGAAGCAGCACATTACAGAACCAACAAGAGTAAGGGGATATGATCCACCAGTAACACTAGATTTGGTGTTTACTCTAGAAGAGCCAGATGTCGAAAAGATAGAGTATGAGATGCCCCTAGGAGCTAGCGACCTTTGCATTATCGTGCTTATACATAATGGGGCTAAAGGAACTGGATATACCAAGAGACATTCGCCTCTTGAATCAACCGAATCCACGCCACGACGTGGCTTTTAGCATGTAGTGAAACTGGATACACCAAGACAGTCCCTCATCTGAGAAAGATGAGGGACTACATTCGTAGCGACTACAGCAAGCCGAGGGACTTTCTGAGTACAATCCTGTGGGGGAGGGAATTGCAAGGGAAGACGAAGTGGAAGTTATTGGTCAGAAATGTTAAGGTGCAACGGAGCCGTATAGCCCACTCAACACACATATGCACGAGGAAGGAAAAAAAAACCCTCTGGCTAAACAGGAAATGAGACAGTCGCCGCGGGGAGAAGCAGGGACCTAAGATACAGCAAGGAAAGAGACTCACCGTGGGAAGAGGCATGTGGTGGAGGGAGCTGGGGCAGGGCCAGACCCTGGGAGAGCACCAGACCCACCAGGAAGGCGCTGTACACTCCCTTCATCGTCATGGTCACCCTGGGAACACAAAACTCTTCATTACTTGATAATACCTGTGTCTGCAGTTTGTTATGTATCTTAGCAATGCATTTATTAGTTAGAAATATATTCATATATACGTAAAAAATACAATAATTTATGAAGCAATTCATACACGCAAGTTTAGTGTGACATGTTTAATACGTGTGTAATGGGGGGATAGTGGCAGAATAAACTTTGAATTCTCAGAATATTTTGTTCTTAAATATTGTCAAAATCATACATATGAACAAATCCATAAGGGTCGTGGCGAGGATTCGAACCTGCATCCGGGAGCATCCCAGACACTGCCTTAATCGACTGAGCTACGAGAGGGTTAAAAGGTAAATGCTCCTGGACGCAGGTTCGAATCCTCGCCACGGCCATTGTGGATTTGTTCATTTGATGCATCACGTTAGTGTGATCTCTGTGTGTGATGATGTAAGGGCGAAGAGGGAGAACGGCCTATTGACATAGCTTGGGTGCAGGGGGGGGGGGTTGTGTAAAAGCCTGGTTTGTGCCTCGGAGAGGCTACGGGATCCAGTAAGTTCAGTAGAACTTCGGTTTCAACCCTTTTAACCCTGTCGTAGCTCAGTCGATTAAGGCAGTGTCTGGGATGCTCCCGGACGCAGGTTCGAATCCTCGCCACGGCCCTTGTGGATTTGTTCATTTGATGCATCACGTTAGTGTGATCTCTGTGTGTCATACGTGTGTATATTCAAGACAACAACGGTCATCCTTCGCCCACAGCTATAGTTAATGTCTCTATGATAAGACAATCGCAGGCGGAGAACATTCCCAGAACATTCCCAGGACCCACCCACAACTGAAAACCACCACACTTCCTGTGAACACATAGTGCTTGGTTAATATATCTTGATCATATACACCGAACAGGTATATCCCTTCAGAGAAAAGGTATACATCTTGAGAAGTAAACCACACACCAGAAGATGAGGAGACGACGACATTTAGGTTCGTCCTGGACCATTATCAAATCGATTATTTATTTATTTATTTATTTATTTATTTATTAATATACAAGAAGGTACATTGGGTTTATGAGAGTAGAGAACATTGATGTTTTTACGTTCTTGTAAAGTCAATAACACGCATCGGGTTTCTGGCAGGTCCTTAATCTGACAGATAATTTTAAGTAGGTAATTTCTAGCAAAACTGAAAAGTGTTAACAGGTACATTGTAAGAAAATTTGAAGAAGAATAGTAGGTACATTATTGTAAAATTTGAGGATTATGAACAGGAACATTGTAGCATAATTAGAGGACTTTTTCTAGGTATATTGAAGCAAAATATGCTTTCAGTATAACATCCATGAGATAAGATGATAGCAGCGATTACAATGGTGCAGTTGAATGGCTTAGGCACATATATTGGGGGTGTGGGTAACCACAAGATACAGAGCAAGTTCAAAGCACTTGGTAGGAAATTATGAGGATGAAATAAGGTACCTTTTTGTTTTACTTTTGAATAAGGTGTAGGTTGGACAGCTTTTCAATTCGTTAGGGAGTGAGTTCAATAGACTAGGTCCCTTTATTTGCATTGAATGTTTACGCCGATTTAGTTTGACACTGGGAAAAGTACTGGGGAAATTCTCATAATAGGATAGTTTCAATCTTCGTATTATACTGGTACACTTTGATGAGTATCTCTTAACTATACCTTTTGTAACTATTCCAACCCTTAAAACCAATCATGTTTCTTGTTGATTGCTTTGAGTATGCCACTTCTGAGCCAGGGGTTGTCTAATCTTCAAGCAGTTACTTGCTTGTTGAGGAGAGGACAGTGAGTGTTGCAGAGGCTGAGAGTTATGGAAAGGAAAATGTTGGCTAATTTGTATTAATCAAAAGGTTCGTTGATTATCTTGTAGAATGTTCATTCGTCATCAATAGCGAGATGTTTGTACCTACCGAGAGGGGGTGTGTACCCACGGCTTGTGCCTACAGAGAGGAGGAGTGTGCCCACAGAGAGGAGGTTTGTGCCAATAGAGAGATGTGTACCTACAGAGAGAGGAGGTGTGTACCTACAGAGAGGAGGTGTGTGCCTACAGAGAGGAGGTGTATGCCTACAAAGAGGAGGCGTGTACCTACAGAGAGGAGATGTACCTAGAGAGCGAGGAGGTGTGTGTGCCTACAGAGAGGAGGTGTGTACCTAGAGAAAGGAGGTTATCTTGAGATAGTTTCGGGGCTTAGCGTCCCCGCGGCCCGGTCCTTGACGAAGCCTACTTTTTGTTACACCCCCCTAGGAAGCAGCCCGTAGCAGCTGTCTAAATCCCTCTTACCAGGTACCTCTTTAGGTACCTGGTACACCACAATTTATACAGTAAATATCGTCTATCACCTGTCAAACATGGCGCACATCGGCAACCTGATCCAGAAACCATCAATACAAGTACATGCTATATGTTATATGGTCAATAGACTAATAATGCCACAAAAATCTGAGTGCGACCCAGCTCAACCAATCATCCGCACAGTCAACCCAGTAGTGACGGGAGGCGGCTCGGCACAGCCCCAGAAGACACTTTAGCCAACTTGGCGAAGCATCCGCCACTACTCTTTCAAATTTCTCTAACTCAGATCATGACATTTTCAAGCTATAACTCCTAAAACATACATATAACTAATGTAATATTGTACAGTACATTTCTCAAGAAAGTATCAAAGAATTCTGCTACACACAATAGCACAATATAATTATGTGTGAATAAATCAACAGAGTTCATATCGACTACACATGGCATCAGAGGCCTGACCAGTCCTCAATGGGGTGGGAGGAATGGGGGGGGGGGTACGGGAGGACTCTAGAAACTTTACAGGTCAAGCTGTAATACAGCATCATACTTTTTTTACAGGAATAATATATACAACCTAGCATCAACAGTGCCTCGATACATGTTCTCACAATATACGTAAATCAAGTTCTGAGAAAAATCAGTGCAAAGTAACACTAGGCTATTGCATTTGAAATCAAGGAAATCGATATATCTTAAAACTTATACTGTCCTAATAACTCTGGTAAATCAATGTAGACATAGTACATGGTAATATATACAGTATGTTACTATACAGCAATGCATAGAATTAAATAATCTATATAAATAAAAATGAAAATGTTCGTTTGTTCAAAATCGATATTCTCTGAAAGTTCTTGACCGATGGCTTTGAAATTTCCACACAACGTTCCATTCGCATCCGAGCAGGTTTTTATATACATACCATATAGATGTCATGTATGTGACGGTAAAAGAAAACATTTTTTTTCTGAAAAACGGTGTTTTCGTATGTTTTTCATGTGAGGGAAATCTTCGAAACCTCTTTACCAATAGCTTTGAAATTTTGACAAAACATTGCATTCGAAAAGGCACATTATTTATATATCTACTATATACATGACTCACCTGTGACAGGAAAAAACATGTTTTTTTGAAAAACAGTGTCATCTGTTGGATGTAAGAGCAACACACGATGTAATCTCCGAAAGTTCTTCACCGATTGCTTGGAAATTTTGACACAAAGTTGCATTCGAATAGGCGCATCCTTTTGTATACCTATTATATAGATGCCACCCCTGTGACAGGTAAAAACATGTGTTTTTGAAAAACAGCAAAATCTGTTGCACATAATAACAACATGCTCGCAATAATAATATGTCACGAATTCCATTTCAATGTTTCCGATTGCATTGATAAATTTTATTTTCATTGATTTCGATTTATTTTATTTTTTATTGAACTATTTTGTGTGACATTGTGTTGGAATTGAGCTGTGTTCTTTACCATACCGTTCATTTCATAAGTATAAGTATAAATGCCACACCTGTGACAGGTTGAACTATGCTTTTCTTGAAAAACAGCGCCATCTGTTGCATGTACGAGCAACACACATGCTATACTAAATAAGTTACAATTCCACATAAAAATTGAAATGTTCATTTGTTCAAAATCGCTAGTCTCCGAAAGATCTTCACCGATTGCTTTCAAATTTTTACACAACGCTCCATTCGCATCCAAGTGGTTTTAATATACATACTATATAGAAGTCACGTCTGTGACGGGGAAAAAAAAACTTTTTTTTTTTAAACTGTGTTATTCATATGTTTTTCATGTGAGGGAAATCTTTGAAACTGCTTTACCGATTGCTTTGAAATTTTGGCACAACGTTGCATTTGAATAAGCGCTGGTTTTTATATACCTAATGTACACATTCCTCACCTGTGACAGGAAAAAAAACATGCTTTTTATGAAAAACAGTGTCATCTGTTATATGTAAGAGCAACACACGATGTAATCTCCGAAAGTTCTTCACTGATTGCTTTGAAATTTTGACACAACATTTCATTCAAATACGCGGGTGTTTTTATATGCCTACTATATAGATGCCAAACCTATGACAGGTAAAAACATACTTTTCTTAAAAACAACTCCATCTGTTGCACGTAATAGCAACACACGGTATTCTAAATATGCTATGATTCCATTTCAAGATTTCCAATGGCATTGATAAATTTAATTTTCACAGATTTCGATATATTTTCATTTGGATTTAAATATTTTGAGTGACATTCCATTGGAATTAAGCTGTGTTGTTTACCATACCTTTCATATTGTAAGTATAAGTATAGATGTCACACCTGTGACAATTGAAAACTTTTTTTTTTTTAGAAACAGTGCCATCTGTTGCACATAAGAGCAACACACGCTATACTAAATATGTTACGATTCCTTTTCAATCTTTCCAATTGCATTGACAAATTGAATTTTCATAATTTCCATTTATTTTCATTTTGTTTTAATTATTTTGTGTGACATTACATTGGAATTGAGCGGTATTGTTTACCATACCGTTCATTTCGTGAGTGCAATGCTTATTTTGACATGCTTATTTTGAAAAACAGCGCAATCTGTTGCACATAAGAGCAACAAACGCTTTACTAAATTTGTTACGATTCCATTTCATTGCTTCCGATTTCATTGATAAATT